CCATCTTATTTTTATTTTTGAAGGTTTAAAACGACCAAGCCAGAGTATGCAGAGCAGAGAGAGGAAAACAGACAAACCAACCTTGTCAGTGATGTCAATTGCGAAGCGGAGACGCTGACCAAATTTCTGCACCTCGCCGCCATGAAAGGTGGGATCGGGAAGGGTGACATTGCGACGACCAACGCGGACGGAGAGACAGCGTGGTAGCACTTCCGAGGCCAGAACGCGAGGGGGGTTGGACTTGTCGCGGGGCATGTAAAGTCCGGTTGTGGCCCAGGCCAACCGCAGAATGAGACGGTACTGGGCAGAGGGGCTAAAGTACAAAGACAATACATACGTAGGCAGATGGCAGCAAGTTTAACTCCCAAAGCCAGGGCATTCTTATCGGTAATTTTATAGAGGAAGGTCCTAGTTATCTGGGACCTAACTAAAAGTAAAAGTGACTGAAGGAAATTGCCCTTTGAAGGCATGTCGAGTGATTTACATTTTGACTCCACTCATAGTCAAACTGAATGAAATTAAAACCACTTCAAGGATTGTGACATTTAATAAGTGTCCTGACAAATTTGGAGGTCCAGTCCAAGTGCGTGGGCTACCTTATGGGACTTTAAAAGAAAAAAGGCGATCGAAAGTACAGTTAACTGCCCCTACGAATTTCTAAGCAGATAATCCGTTGAACCCTTCTTAGGACTGCCCAATTGTCTCCCTAATACGTACATTAATATGTCTGTTTTTTTTTTCATAACTGGCGTTCTTCCTATTCACTGCATGAACGTAAGGATATTTCCGCGCTGGGCTCTGTTACGACTCGCCCCTGGTACTTCCAATTAGCACGAACGGTGAATTAGTTGACCACGGTCCCCAAAGCCCCTAAGAGAGAAGCATGAGAAGAGGGGGCGAGCACGAGACAGTACGTACTCAGACAAAGCACGTTACAGCAATCCGTTCTCACACAAATGCTGCATGTACTTAAGGGGGAACGCGAGAGACATAGCTGAGTCAATGGGCCAATCAGAATTGAGCAGACATGCTGGCCGGCAGCCAGGTGGTTCACACGACGCCTTTGTGTGTGTGTGACCCATCATGGGAATAGCGGCATTCTCAACAGATTCTCATGGTCTTTTCCATTAATTTTGCATCGAATGACTATCGGGCTTGTTCAAGGACGGTGTTAACTGGTCATTTCTGGCCTTCC